AAAATGAGACAGAGACACGTATAAGTAAGGACACTACATCTCTTCAGTGCAGGATTTCAGGCCGCAATGTCTCAAAAATCGGTGAATTTCACCCTTCCCATCCTGAGCATTGCCATCGATTTGTGTTCTACGATCTTTAGCCACTTTGTTTATTGGGATAGAAAGGACAGGGAGGAATAAATGCTGGCAATAAATGGTTGTTGCTTGTGCAAGGAGTGCAAAAAAAAAATTCAGGATAACAACGCATGCAGTGTCATGGCACAGCTAGCAAAGGCTGACAAAAGCTTCCGAAAGACGTTGTACAGGGCCAGTTTTTCATTCTTCCACCTAAAAAAAATACTGTGGTGCAGTATTTATTTTTATTTTATTTTATTTTACAGTCAAAATATAGAACTACAGTCATCATGTTTGTGGCTCTGATTTTTGCAGATTTGATTATTTACAGATTTGATTAATATCTCCTCTCTCAGAATCACTAGCTCCTCCAGGAAAATTCTGAAGGAACTTGACCATAGAGGTGCACAGGAGGACCTAGAGATTCCTAAAGAAAACACCTCTCTGGGAATTTGTAGGTCCTCCAGCATGATTCTGTGGTCAAATTCTAGCAAATGTTGACCATAGAATTCTGCTGGAGGACCTAGAGATTCCTAGAGAGGTGTTCTTTTGGGTTAAAAAAGTAGTATTTTTTGTTATTATTATTTGCAGATTTTCCACTTTCATGGGGGGTCCTGTGCCCCTAACCCCAGCAAATATGAAAGGCCTACTGTACACTCTAAATGTACACATGAGTGTGCACCCACCTTTTTTAAAAAAATTCTATGTATGTGAATTAATTTGGCTTCAGAAGAAATGATGTTGTGTGCTTTCCTCTGAGGCTGAGAGAGTATGCCTTGCCCAAGGTCATCCAATGGGTTTCGATGGCTGAATGGGGATTCGAACCCTAATCTTCAGAATTAAAATCCATTGCCCAGACCGCTACACCCCTCTGTCTCTCCGTAATCCATGGCTTATCCCAAAACATTGGCCGAAAATGTGACACACCATGGAACCTGTTGCAACCGATGACAGGTGGACTTGCACAGGTATCCGGACAGGCCCAGGCTTGTAGTTCAGGGAGGCTTCCTTCCGCCTCTCTTCTCAAAACTGTCAAAATGTTGTGTCATGTCAACCAAAGACAAATAAGACTGTCAGAGTATGGAGATGGAGTTTCAAAGTGCTATGACTGTGTCGTGCGGATACATCCTCTGAGAGTTGTAGTACACTTTCTAACAGGTTTTTGTGGGGGTTTTTTTGCATCTGTGGCTCCTTTTTGTGAAAAATTCATTTGAGCAAAAACCCAAAAAAGCAAGGGTTTTGTGCAAAAGGTGTTCGCCCAAACCTTTTTGCACAGAAAACTATATTCTGCGCATTCTTTGCTCGACACTGAATTTTGTACAGAAGTACAATTTTTTCTAAATATCAGGATGAACATGGAGCCCACCACATATTTGTTAGGAATGATAAACGAAGAAAATGAAAAGAAATTTGGCCAAATTATTATATTTTATATGATATACGCAGCAAGATCTGTAATTGCAAAAAAATGGAAAAGCAAAAAAATACCAACATTAGAGGAATGGTTGATTAGACTATACGATATAATAGAGATGGACAAGATAATTTTTCTTGTTGAGCATCAGAAAATTGGTGAGTATTCCTTACATTTCTGCCAGGCTGCTCTTTAAAGCACAGGAAGAGAGTCAAGAGGGAAGTTTGAGTGAGTTTCAATTCACCCAGAATCGAATCATTTAGGGTTACCAAATGGGCTGAAAAAAGAGAGATCTGGGCCAAATGGCTTCAGTGCCTTTAGTGACAATTCAGCCTACAGAAATCACCAAATTGAAGCTTTTCATGGCTGCTAGATAAGGATGAACATCTGGTACAGCTAAGGGCACACTGACAAAGACTAGTCATGTTTAATTTGCTAGCTTGCTTGGGTTTTATTTCTGCAATTTTATTTTTAGTACCATGATTTATTGCATTTGATTGCCTTTAACTGTTGTCAGCTGCCTTGTGGGCATGTGCTGCAAAAGGCAGGGTGCAAATGCCATAAAATGAACAATTTTGAAAAATAAAAATAAAGTTAGTAAACCTGGAAGTATTTTGAACATCCCAGATCTGGCAAAGAACATCCCAGGGGCCATGTTGTTGCTATGTGTTTTCAAGTCATTTCCAATTCATGGTGATCCTAAGGAAGACCTATCATGGAGTTTTTTCTGGGGCTGAGAGTGTGTGACTTTCCCAGTGAGTTTCCATGGCTAAGCCGGGGATTGAACCCTGGTCTCCAAAGTCACAGTCCAACACTCAAACCACTACACCATGATGACTAGCCACAGGTTTGAAAGGGGCCCTTTGATTTGTATGCATGCTAAAAATTATTATTATCATCATCATCATCATCATCATCATCATGTGAACCTGAAGAATCTGCAGCCACGGAAAAGCCACGGCAGAAAGAGAGGGACATAAAAACACATGTGTCTCAAGTTGTACAAAATGGGTTGGAAAATTTTTATGACTGCAAAACAAAACCATTGTGCACAAGATCAAAGGGGAGGTTAAGAACGAACGAAGGCGACCGAAGCTCCTGCCATGGGGCATGTGCTGGCAGCCTACAGGCACAAAAAAATAATAAATATATTTTAAAAGGAATGTTTACCTATGCCCAACTGTTGCTCAATGGCATGAGTGGATTGGGATGGGATTTGACCTGCTTTACTCAAAGCAGCCTAGGTATTGTGGGGGCTGATGTGAAGTAACTTATGCTCTTGTGAGACAGAGTTGAGAACATGGATGATTTCTCCAGCGCTTGGAGGAACCTCCACCAACCGAGGGGCTGAGTAAATAAGTGGTGCTAGATGCAATGTAAGGGTTAGGACTGCCATCAGGTTGAATTGTGGCTTCATAAACCCCCGTCAGAGAGTGAGATCAGGATCATGAGCTGTGATTGTGGCTTGCAACAAGGCCAACAGAGCCATACAGCTCTACAAAGTTACCTCCAGGTCATCTTGTTTGGTAGCCAGAGACTGCACACAATGATGCCAGCGGAAATAGGTGACAATGGAAGCAGAAGTGTATATAGGTTTTTTGTGTTTTTTTCGGGCTGTGTGGCCATGTTCTAGAAGAGTTTCTTTCTGATGTTTCACCAGCATCTGTGGCTGGCATCTTCAGTTCAGAAAGTTCAGAGAAAGTTTCTTGGAAGATGCCAGCCACAGATGCTGGCGAAATGTCAGAAAGAAACTCTTCTAGAACATGGTCACACAGCCCGAAAAAAACACAAAAAACTATGGATGCTGGCCATGAAAGCCTATGACTTCACACAGCCTATGACTTCACATCCCTGATTGACATCTAATAATAATAATAATAATAATAATAATAATAATATCCAGTGGCCAGTTGCGTGTTTGTTGTTCTTGTGTGCCTTCAAGTCATTTCTGCCTCATGACAACTCTATCTGGGGTTTTCTGGGCAAGATTTGTTCAGAGGAGGTTTGCCATTGCCTTCCCTTGAGGCTGAGAGTGTGTGACTTGCCCAAGATCACCCAGTGGGTTTCATGGCTGAGCGGGACATCAAGCCCTGGTCTCCAGAATCATAGTCCAACATTCAAACCACTGTGCCACGCTGGTTCTCATCAGTTACACGTGGTTGCAAAAAATTCAGAGAAGCATCCTTCCTGGGCACCATTTTAGGGGGAGGTGGGGTTGTCTCCAAATAGTAAATGAATCAGCCTTCTGAAATCGGGCCATCCCAAGGAGCAAAAAAGACTGCCTACAGACCTACAAAATCTGTATGATACTTACACAATGCCATCATGGTCTGACGTTCCCTGTGGTGTGATAGAAGTCAAAACTGAAAGGTTTCTGGCTTTATTTTTAGCCGAAGATGAGAAAGAAGAGGATGGGTTGAACGTGGTGTGATGGAAGCCCTGTTGTTCCTAGTGCATTGACATTTATTTTTAATTTCCCTCAATCCTATTTTTGGTCACCTAGAGGGTGTGTCTGTGTGTGTGTTTGTGTGTGTGTATGTGTGTGTATGGCTATATGTGTAATATTTTAAAAACACCCTGAAAAACCTGTTCAATCACAGACAACGGTGGGACAAAATCATAGAAGCAGAGGAATAGAGTTGGAAGAGACCGCAAAGGAAATCTGGTCCAGGAATATACAACTAAAGCATTCCTGAGAGATGGGCATCCAACATCTTTTGAAAATACTATGAAGTTCCATCAGAATGGCATGTCTCCTCCTTCAGTCCCACAAAAACACCCTTTTGTTGCTGCAATAGCCCACAACACAATTATTTAGTGACTAATGGAGTACAAGGTGTGTATGTGCAGAGAAGAATCCAACTCTGTTGCATATTGGTACTAAAAAGAATATTTTGGTTCTTTAAAGAAGTGATCCTACTACATGGCAAGGATGGGATGCCTGCACCCTTCCATATGCCGATGGTCTACAACTTTCATGACCGCTCACCACTGGCAATGCTAGCTAGGGCTGATGGGAACTGCAGTCCAATAATATCTGTCAATGGCAGCTGGAGGCTTTACTATCAGTGAGGTGATAAAAAGTCACTCTGGATTTCAGCTCAACATTCAAAGGACCTACCCAAAGAAAGAAAACCCAACAATTAGGGTCACCATCGGTTAGAGGCAACCTTAAGACACATGACAACAACAACAACTGATAGTTGAAGCACAGGTTCAACACTACTGGAGGGGGATCATCAGCTAGGATTTTTGCAAAGTGCAACAGCCATTGAGGTGAAGAAGGGATCTTTCTGCTGTTTCTTCTACTAGCTTGGGATGGACAAATGCATGTGAGCCGGGGTTCTCTGCTGGGCCATATCCACCCCCTCCAGAAATCCCAAATATTAATTAGTAAGATTTTTTCAAAGGAGATTTGCATTGCACTTCCTCGAAGGCTGAGACCTCTCCAAGGACACCTCATGGGTTTCCATGGCCGAGCAGGGATTCGAACCCTGGTCTCCCAGAGTCCTAGTCCAGCACTCACACCACTATGTCACGCTGGATCTCAAGGGTCTTCCTACCCTGACATGAAACATCTCTGAAACTCTGGTTATCTACAAAGAGAGGGAGATCCTTCAACGCTTCAGGCTTCTGGGTCATTGGGATACCCAATGGATGACACAAAAGTGGCTACATCCGCAAAGTCTTTTCCCATTCAGTTGCCAGTAAGGCCAGACAGGCATGAATCCAATGGCGAAAACCCAAATCCCCATCAGCACTCTCCCGAATTCATGGGATGACCGCTTCACATGAACAACATATGAAAGAGTTCTTTGAATTTTAATTGTGGACTTATAGAAATACAAGGTGGACTTAGAAATGCAATTCGCTGGCAACTGAGTATGAAGGATGTTGGCTGGTGGATTATGGGACTTGTAATCCACACAAGTCCTGTTGTTGTCCTGCTGGTGTCTCATCCATTGGCTGCAGAGAGAACAGCTGTTCTTCAGCATTAAATAGAAAGGCTGTAAATAAGGTCAAAGGAGAGACGGAGAGAGCCAAACACAGTGGTCCCCAAACCTGTTATTAGCCCTATAAACAGGAGATATGTCTCCGGCAGACCTCAGGCGATCTGGTTCCTGCCTAGTTGAGCTGCTCTGTGAACCTCAAGAAAGTGCCGAGGTTAACAAACAACTTAATTAAAACTAATCCAAGTAATTAAACCCTACACTAGCACCTTGGGTGTCTTCATGGTTAATGTTTTTATTGCATTTATTTATTTATTTATTTATTTATTTAGGGGAATCATGAAATCTGCATAGATGAGGAAGTAGGCCTTCGTTGCATAAGAATCACAAAGGCAATGTGATTTGGAATGGCCGTATTACATTATACTGGGATCATTACAGTCTCCCGGAGGTGACTGGATAACAGGGATTGTGGGGAGTCGTAAAAGACAACACCCTGGTTTTACTGTGCGCCTGGAGAGGCTGTTGTGAAAGCAACTCCTTTAAAGACAGAGAATGAGAGAGAGAGAGAATCAGAGAATCCTAGAGTTGGAAGAGACCTCAAAGATCATCCATTCCAACCCCCTGCCATGCAGGAAGACCCAATCAAGGAAGAGAGAAAAACCACTTAAAAATACATTGGCCACTATCCTGTTGGTGTCATATGATTGCTTGAGGATGTAGCCGCACTGCAAAATTAAAGCAGAATTAAAGAACCTATCCTTTTCTGCAAACATGAGTTGCCAGTTTAAAGGTAGTCTACTCTCAAGTTACATCTGTGTGTGTGCCTTCAAATCATTTCCAACTTATGGCAACCTTAAGGCGAACCTAATCCTGGGGTTTCCTGGGCAAGATTTGTTCAGAGGAGGTTTGCCAATGAGGCTGAGAGCATGTGATTTGCCCAGGGTCACCCAGCTCATCCATGAAACCCACTGGGAGACCTTGGGCAAGTCACACGCTCTCAGCCTCATTGCCAAACCTTCTCTGAACAAATCTTGCCAAGGAAACTCATTATTATTATTATACTACTTTTAAGCTTGCAGCTCACATTTGCAGAAATTGAATGAGGAAAAAGTGGGAAAAGGCGAGAGAAACCAGGCCAATTTAAAATCTCTCTGAAAAGAGAAGACTAAATATCTCCTCAAAGTACAAATCCCCAAATTCAATGACAATTAAAGCAGTGTCAAACTGCATTAATTCTGCAACTTACATGCAATCATTTTTTGAGATATATATATATATATTAGTTAGCTGTTCTGAATGATATTTTGCCTGATAATGCAGAGGCTTTATTTGTCTGAATGCTACATCTGTTTAAATTATATCACTATAGAATTATTATATTAGTATTGCATTGTATTCATGCTGCACCTGTTGGTTGGAGTAAACTTTATAATAACCCAAAAAACAACAGGTGCAGCCTAAATATATTCAGCACCATTTAGTGATGGGAGGTAGTGTAGGATGGAAGTGTAGTTAGCAAGGTTTATGACACATATCCTATTATTTACAAGGCTCTCCCCCATGCTGCCCACTTTGTCTTCACAACAACCCTGTTGTGAAGTTAAGGCTAAGAAACAATGGCAAGCCTGAGGCCACTAAATCTGACATTTGAACAAATTGTGTTGCTTTAACATTGCCTTTTTTTAACATTTTCATGGTATCATAAACTATTGGTAAATTATTCTCGTTGGTAGTTTAATTCTATTTTAGTGTTGGTCCTTCTTACATTTAATAATACACATTATTAAAACCGCCAGTCCCTATGGACTGAGGTGAGTAGCAGCATGAATATCCATCTTTATTGAATAAGTCTCCAAACCATTTCAAATATATATGAATTTATAGGATAAAATGATAATGATAAAAAAGAAAAAATATATGAGGAGCAGGAACAAGTTAGATACATAACATTAGTTCAAAGAGTATACAAAACCAATACATGTTCAATCAATCAATGCGTACTGTAAAATTTGTTTTTATTGGTTACACATTTATAATTTACATATTTATCATTTGCAAATGTATAAAAATTGTTACAGCAGAGAGCATCTTTAATGGATAAATTTTCTCCAGTATGTCATTACACATTCTAGGGGCGAAAGTAGAAGAAAATCTCATCCAAATAATAGTCATCAACCTAGTTTTGGCTGATTTAAGCAGATGTTCGCCAGAGGATCTGACCATTTGAAGCAGATTATACAAGGGTAGGTGATCCAATAGGTAACCTCTACCCAAACCATGGCTGAAATAAAGGCTGCAGATCCCATCTGATCTTGGAAGCTAAGCAGGATCAGCCCTGGTTAGTACTAGGATGGGAGACTGCCAACCAGTTCCAGGTGCCGTGGGCAACATTTCAGAGGAAGAAACTGGAAAAAACCACTCATTTAATTCAGTGGAGGAAGAGGACGGAGGGAGCAAAATCTCACCCTTCCCAGATGGTTCAGACAAAAGCAACTGCTGCAGCACCTCCTAGCTCCCCATTCACTCCTAGTTCTTCCCCATTCATAACTTTGCTATAGTTTTCTGTACATTTTCCAGGCTTTGTGGCTGTGTTCTGGAAGAATTTATTCTCTCATATTCTTTCCTGGCTGCACTACTAATTCCTTAGCAATCCTTGGGCATTTCTCCTCCTTCCTTCCTTCCTTCCTTCCTTCCTTCCTTCCTTCCTTCCTTCCTTCCTAATAATAATAATAATAATAATAATAATAATAATAATAAAATTTTATTTATATCCCACCTTTAGCCGGGGCTATCAAGGCGGCTTACAATTAAAATACAGTCCCATACAAATTACAATAAACATATAACCCCCCCTTAAAAATATATTAAATCATTATCAACATTAAAATTAATTTAAAACACGGCTATAAGTCAATATTATTAAGTGGCCGGTACTCTAAGTATATAGAGGGTTACTCTGAGGTCTGATGGCGGGGGAAGATCCTTCTTTCCTTCCTTCCTTCCTTCCTTCCTTCCTTCCTTCCTTTCTTTTTTCCCCTGCAGCAAACCCATCATCGCTCTTAATTCCGGCAATGACAGTTTGATGCTTTTTATCTGATGTTGTCGCCTCCCATCTCTAGGGCCAGCTTTCAACAGAAAGACGAGGAGGACGACAACAAAAATCCCAACCATTCTCCACCCAAGATACCACCCTTACCAAAAACAGAGAGAAGGAAGGAACTAGCTTGACAAGAAGGGCGACTGAGGCAGGAAGCGGCGGCCTGGGAGGAGAAGGCCACCTGGCTTTTAAAAACCACTTAGGATCCCTTCAGGTGCATCCTCACCAAGGTCTCTTTCACGGTACCCAGGATCTTCAGTTACCCTTAAAAAAAATATTATTAAATATTCGGATTAAAACGTAATACATTTATACATTCAAAACCCTCCACCAGCTTCATATTACTATTACAATCTCATATATTGCTGTATAATTATAGTTCCATCATAATGGTGTTAACTCATCAAAATTATATTTCTTTGACCGTATAATAAAACTATAATTCCTACTTAAATAAAATTTCTTTGTCTTTTCAATATCATGTTCAATCAAGTTGTGTGATCTATCCTTTCCTTTCTTTCTATCTTCCTTCTCTCTATTCCCTACTCTAATCACTCCTATCTCTTATCTCCCTCTCTTCCCCTTTCCAATCTCTTTCCGTCTCCTTTTCCTTCTTCTCTTTCATTTCATGCCTCCTCTTATCCTCTTCTACTTTCCTTTATATCCTCTTCCTTATACATCTTTCTACATCCTCTTACCCTCTTCTACTTTCTGATCCCCTCTTACCTATCTCTCATCTTTGTATAAGTTCAAAGTATAAAAGTAGTTTGTATTCAACTCAGTAGGGGGGGAATAGAGGAGCAGGGAGAGTCTTGCTCTTCCCAGTTGGCTCAGGCAAAAGCAAACTGCTGCCGCCTCTCCTTTCTTGTCCTTTCTTCCTCATTAGGAACTTTTGCCATCTTGACCACACTCTGATGTACGTCGGCTGCATGTGTCCCAGTTCTTATCTGTGAAACGTAGGAAGGGATGTGTGTATTCATCTTAAGATCACTGAATACAATGGAGATGGATGGAAACACCTTTCAGCCTTCCACGGAGGAGCTGCTTCAGTTGCTTCGCCATTGCGCAAAATTCTCTGTGTTAATTAGCTAGGATTAAAAACAAGAGATTATCAGAGGATCAAAAGATCACACGCCCATAAAGACAACCATAAAGTATTCAGGGAGGGGGAGAGTATAAAAAGAAGCCTCCCTCCTACCACATTATAACCATCCAGAGAGAAAGCAGCACCAAGAAAGGAACTCACCCCAGAGAAGATGCACACCTTTTATGCGCAGCTTTTGAGCTTGCGCATTTATCGCTCAGGTATAATTCCACCACAAAGAAGGCAATAAAGCCGCGACAGGCTGCAAACTCTGCATCGGCCAAGACATTTGGCTATTAAAACAGGGGTGGACATAGTGCATCCTATTTTTATGGCCGCTGAAGCCATCTATCAGTCTCTCAAAGCCTCCAAACTATCCAAAAAGTTATTTAAAAAAAAAACAGTGCATTT